CTAGTTATTATTTTTCTTTTCCTGCAAATCTTATATCTCACAATCTAACCATAGGATCTTTCTGAAACTTTGATCTACCTCCCCCGCCCACCCAAGAATGGGTGCTGGCTTTGGAATGAATATATTTTTAAAACGTTTTACGAATCCGAAATCACCGAATTTTACGAACAAAAAAAGCTTACATGCATAGTCGTAACTTTGTGTGTGTTTTTTGACCTATTTTAGAAATTCTTTTTTCTTTGAGTACCTAGAAAAAGACCATTTTATCCTGCAATTTCCGATTTTCGAAAATTCATCGCTGCGATTTCGTCCCGGAAGTGTTGAATTTTTTGGTATTTGCAAATTTCACAATTTCGAATTTTGCCTTTGAAGTTTTTCGTGCCGACAAAGTTGTTTACTAGTGAAAACTTCGCATTAACGGCTTGGGAATATTTGGAATAGGCCGTCGTTTCGCGAATTCGTATCCTATTTCCGAAATTAATACATTTCTGGTTAGCCCCCTTCCAAGAATGGGTAGTGGCTTTCGAATAAATATATTTTCAAAACGTTTTACGAATCCGAAATCACCGAATTTTTACTGACAAAAACAGTTGACCTACATAGCTGTAACTTTGAGACTATTTTATTGACCTATTTTACTTAGGAGATAAACACCGACTGTTTAGAATTTAGAGGACAGTTATTTGCCATTTGCCTTGAAATTTTTGTTTCTGTACTAGATAAGAACTTACTGATGCGTACACAAAACATGAAGCTTGTCGATCTATCCAGAAGTGCTACCATCTTGAAACGTGAAAATTCCTAAGGCTTTCACGATATTATACTTACAGACATGGGAGTTACATTTTCTGAATCCTTGAAAAAACGTTCAGGACAGAAGTTTGATTTCGGTCAACTGATAGTCGTCATTTTGAATTGAATATGTAAAATAGTGAAAAATCCACATTACGGGCTTGAAAATAAACACAATAGGCCGTAATTTGTCTCTTATTTCCGAAATAACCTATATAACCTGGCTCTGGGTCGAATATGTGGTATTTGGAAATTTCAAAATTCCGAATTTCCACTTTGAAGTTTTTCGTGCCGAAAAAGTTGTTTACTGAACAATTGTTTTTCTTAATTTTCAAAAATTTACAAATTTGATCTAAATATTCGAATAACTGAGGTCAATCCGATTCCAAAAATATAAGTTTCATTCAAAGTTATCTCACTTTATTGTTCAATATTTTCCCGACATTAATTTCTTTAGTTCTTTCGGCCATTTTCATTTCATTTTCTGATCCTTCCTTTTTTAAAAGGCTTGATCGATTTTTCTGAAATATCTGGAACCGATTCCATCAAAAAAAATCTCAGTTATCTCCCTTTATTTTTTCAGGTTATTTTTCGACCGGTTTCTCGCTATATTTTACCGTTTAACTTAGCGAGTTTTTGACGGATTTTAATAATTATTTTTTCTTTTTGAGACTCTTTATATAACCCATGACATGTGACCGGAAGTGACCATGAATATGAAAACTTTCATATCTGCCTGGCAGATCTAGTTAATATTATTTTGTGTGTGTGTGTGTGTGTTTTTAATCTTCACACCGGAAATAATAACACAATTACCTCCCAGTTACCTCCTTTGTTTTCTATTCTCCATCATGGAATAGCTATCTTCAAACGTTTGAATTTGAAGTTGAAAATGATATTTTTGCCAATTTCTCAACTAGCAATAGTGAATTATAGGATTAATAGGATTATTCTTTAACAAGGTAGGACTGTTTATAGATACCATCTATTTTAGGGCTTTATTTTAATACATTTTAAAAATATAACTTAAAAATATGAAATTGTAATTTTAAAGACGGCCTAAATTAACCCCAAGCGTATCTGTTGCGTCAAAATATGAAGAGAGCATTAATAGAAACACCTAAACGGGTTGGACTATTTCTCCACCTCACAACATCTACTGATTCTTTAAAAACAATTGTACGAAATGTCGACTTTGTGATATAGCGTTTGGTGATCAAACCCCCACATTCGATTAAAAAATACATTATTTACTTTTAATTGTTACAACTGAGAAATTAAAATTCCAGCCATGATACACTTTACCGTAACTATAAAATCGAAAATACATTTGTTAATTGTCTAACATTAAAATCACATTAATAAAAATCGCACCTAACACATGTTAATAATTGAAAATTGTAAGAAATTTCAAATAAAATACACTATAAGAAGAAAATTCTTAACCTTTAACGAGCCCAAACAGTTTCATAATCGCTTTCAATTAGACAGAAACATAGACCTCGGGGTTGTGCAAAAGCAAATGTGAGACAAATCGGTCAATCCACTTTTGGTAGTTTGCAAAGTACTTGCAGCACGTAACTACACATACATTTCGACTGTGTTAAGATCTAGTAACGACTGTTAAGCCGATTCCCCTCGAACAGCTGCGATCTCGGAAGATTCTTGTACGGTCAGTTACCAACACATTACGATCGAATACGACCTAGCAGGACGTAAGCATGTGATCAGCAATACTGCAAGAAGCCACACATATTGACACTTTACTCAATGTAAAAGGAAAAGGAGTACAACTCATTGCTGTATATTGCCATGCAACTAATAATAAATCACCACTTTTCTTTGATGAAATTAGTGAATGAATCAACAACATCTAATGCCGCGGTCACATCTTATGGTCACACTCGTAGTTGACCGTAGTAGACCTTAGTTAAACGTATTAACCGTAGTTAGACGTAAAATAACGTAGTTATAAACGTAGTTTGAACGTCAAGAAATCCATGATTTGACAGTGATCAAATCAAAAATGTTCAACATGTTCAAAATATATCTACGGTGATCTTGGATGCCAAGACCCTACTGTAACCGTAGTTTAAAGGTATTTGACACTAGGTCACCCTAGTTCACCGTAATTGAACCTACTTGACCTTAGTGTTTACGTCGTTGGCCGTAGCAGCATGACACCATGCTTAACACTACGATCAAGTATGGTCAACTACTAGGTAAGGTTTTCGTTGTTCACCCGAGTCACTCGAGTCGACACCAGACCGTTCGCGTTTTGAATCAGTCGCATCACGTGAATAACCCGTTTACTCCCCGTTGAGCGGGGAGTAAAAGGGTTTGTCACGTGACAAAATGGCGTCCTATACGCAAAAAAGCCTGTCTCTCGATAACATATTGACGTCGTAGCTGTTTTGAGGTCATGTGACTACTCGGACCGTTCGGGATGTTTCACCCGGGTAAACTCGGCAATGGAGTCGACTCGAGTGACGCGAGTAAACGACGAAAACCTTACCTAGGGTTAGATTAAAGGAGCTAAATCGCTACTATTTGGGACCTAGAAATTGACACAAATGGGTCGCAACGCATATAATAATGTAATATGAATGTATATAAACTGATTTACATTCAATCGTTCCCGTGAACTACGGTCAACTACGTGCGTAACCGTAAGGTTTGACCACGGCTTAAATGTCAACGCCTTATCGTCGAAGAATTCAACTTTCATTTCGAAAATTCGAATGATTTTGCAGCTAAACGTTTAAAAGACCCGCTACAGGTAAGCTCACCACATCAACATGTAACAGTATCAACTCATACTTATGGCCACATTCTTGATTTGGTCATTACTAACAACTTAATATCAGATCATTTTTACATAGATATCCCGAGACCACCATTCGTAAAGAAAAATATAATATAGAGAAAAATTAAAACCTTGTGTATTGATGGCTTGAAGTCGTTCAATGAAAATTTAACAATATCCGTCAACAAGACTGTGTTAATGATAAAGCTAGATCCTATTCTTAAAATACTGACTTGCTGAAGTAGTACCTGTCATTACTGACATTATCAATTCATCTATTAAAACATCTGCTGTTCCTGATATTTTTTAAAGTCGCTCAAGTATTTGCAGCTATTAAAAGATCAAACTTAACTCCCGATTTATAAAAGAATTATTGCCCAATGTCAAATCTTAGTTTCGTTTCTAAGATTCGCGAGAAATGCGTAGCAGCTTAGTTAATTTCATATGTTGAAGAATACAGCCCTCTAAAGTACATGCAGACGTTTTCATAGCACCGAAGCTGCATTGGTGCGAGTTCAGAATGATATTTTACTCTTTTTTGATACAAAGGAGTGCGTTTTCTTGTTTTGACTCTTGTGGTAGAGGTATCCTGTTCAACAGACTGAATTCAGATTTTGGCATTTCTGACTCAGCCCTCGAACTGACAAGATCATATATTAAACAATATATTATTATTGGAAACGAAAAATATAAAAATACCCAACTGAATAACGGAGTTTCACGTGGATCAGTATTAGGTCCGATTCTTTTCAGCCTCTACATATCACCTCTTGACACAATATATTATTGTAAAGAAATGTTGTTTGTCATTCCATGTATAAGCGGATGACTCCCAGTTATACTGCTCATTTAAACCCGTATCAAATGGGGATTTTAACTACACTAAAGCTAATCTTGAAAATTGTATCGCAGGTATTCTAAAATTGAACGACGGAAAAGCCGAATATCTTATTATTGACTCAAAAACTCAGTTACCCAAAGTTAATGACAACAATTGAATTTCAGTGGGATCCCATGTCAATAACCTTTGTAAAAGTTGTTATTATCATATACGCAATATTGGCAAAATCAGAAAGTTCATCTCTCGAGATGCAACTAGATCTTTATTCAGTTCATTTATAATTTCAGAACTATGGGTGCATGTATCGTCAACAGTGGGGGGAAAGTAGGATAACACATCAGGTTAACCAAACTACCCTAATCCGTGTTACGTACAGGACTGAGTTCTATAATATGCACACGCGTTATAGACTATAAATTGTAAATATGTTTTTCCGCAGAATTGTGAATCATTTGGCGCGATGTCTTTTACAATAATAAACGCCACCAGGGTGATCATATCAGCCCTGGGTTAGGGCAATTAGCCAGAACCCATTAATGCCAAGCGTAAAGATAGTGTTACCTGTAAATCAGAAAGATGGCGATTGCCGGAAGCAGAAGAAGAATACTGGCAATATTACAGCCGAGACTTAAATAAATCGACTGGATGAGGCCCTGTAAAAATATAAAACAATATTATTATTAATGCGATAATTGATGGACTGAAGAAACAATGTAGTCCAACCCCAAGAGAGTATAAAATTAGTATAAAATTTACATCTAATTACTTGTAATTACTATCTCAATTTATTTATCTTTTTACTTGTCTTGTCGCTATTTACCTCATTTCATGATAATAAATAGTAGTGTTTTTCTTCAACGGTCTGACATTGGGATTTCTTGTTACACACAGCCGATCACGACTCACACTAGGATATGGTGTTTCACAGTCTCAAATATTAAAATTTGTGCTAATAAAAACGGCATCTACTTGTCAGCCTGTTGCATCTTTAATCACAAATCAATGAGAACCATTCATTTAGTAACTGGATAGAGTACTAAACTATAACATATACATATGGAAAACAGCTACTATTTATTTTGAGCGACGTTTCGAAAAGTATTCTTTTCTTTTTTTTTAAAACTCAAATATGCATGAAACTATATACAATGCAATATCCAATTTAATATTATAGCATTTAGTTATTTACATTACTTGAAAGTCAATATTTAATTATTTACATTTACTTCAATATCAATATTATTATACATGTATATACATAAATACTAGATTTAATTGTTTCGTAGCCTAGAGTGTCTGGTTGGTCGAGATGTACGTACTGTTCCTCATAATACTAAAAATGGAGATGATTCGGTCAGAAAATTATGTTAATCCTCATACTTCCAAAGCACATGTCGCTAGACAGTGGGTAGATAGCGGTAAAACTTTAAACTATGACTGGGTTGTTATAGTAGAGAGAGAGTTTGAAACGGGATGGATAAATAGAGAAAGGGGGTCGGGCGGGGGGTAAACGTACGTCCCCTCAGCACAACCAGGCCACTTCGGGATTAAAAAGTGGTCCATTTTCATTTCAAAAAGTCACTTGAGTGTAGAGGTCTGAAGCAGTTTGGTTGTGAGTGATATCCGCGAGATTGTCCCATCTGGGCTCGATGCCACTGAACTTAACTAAAGGATAAAGAGCGTGTGATCAAAGGCACAAGCGTTAGACCACTAGGCCATCCGGACCTTAGGTTATTATAAGTGATTGTAATTCACATGAATTAGAATTGTAGTTGGTCTGTGATGGAATAGTTGTTTTTAGAGCATATTAAACAGTTAATAGAAATGGACAAAATAATTCTTAATAGATTGTTACAATGGTATATGTATTGGCTGTGTCTGTAAATACAATTAAGATAGGGCTGTTTTGAAACATGTGTAGCAGTGCTAATTTACGAAAGCGGAAATGTATAAGGTGCCCTTTGTTGGGCAACTTATAGTGATAATAGCATAGTAAATATTTTCATATAAGGGAGTAATAGTAAAATAAAGTTTCATACATGACGAAACCTTGTTTTCTATTTGTATAGAATTGGTATATCAGATCTTTTGAAATATTTGTGGATACGGGATGTGTCCGGCTAGACCATATGATGGGCAGGTATAGGTATATATCGTGAATGTACTCAGTTTTTACATCATGTAGATGGATGGTGTCATTGTTAATTTTGAATTGTGTTGTGAAATGAATGGTGTTTATGTCTGTGGTAATGAAACGTTTATAGAATTGTAATTTTGGGCAATTCAGGAATAGGTGATGGTAAGATTCAGTAGCTTTGTTGCAATAGTGGCATTTATAGCTCTTGGTATCTATATTTCTAAACAGCAGAATATCTTGTGTTAGCGTGACATTGTTAGTGATTGTGTACATGTATCAAGTCTTTTTCTTTTCCAGTCAAGAAGGGGTATTGGTCGAGGTTTGTCCAGTCTTATAAGAAGTCAATAATATTATGAGGTAATTGTTTGTTTATTTATGGTAGGGTGTGTTTTATGTCAATTAGAGACTAATATATGTCTCTGAGTTTTGTACTGTATGCATATTTGATGGATGATTTGAGGTTGTTGTAAGTTTATTTTATATCTATATATTAGATGCATATTTCGGCAGGGTATTCCTTGTGGGAAATCCCAGCCAGTATATGTATAAGCCTACCCAAGGACTTTCGTTATCTTTGATAGCATTTACTAGGAGCTGTTGCTGCATTTCTGTTTTCCCAAATGAAATTGTAGATTAGTTGATTTATATTTTTAATAATTGAATTCGATGGGGCGACTATCCTAGCAACGAACCATACTTTACTTAGTATGTAAGGTTTTTCCTTATACGATAGAGAGGAATTTTCCCATGTCTGGATTGTTGATCTGATTATTTGTACAATCGGTAGCCATTTTTTCCCCATTTTGTTAGTGCCAAACCATATCCCTAGAAGTTTTATAGCCTCTTTTTGGGGTTATAATTTCAGTTTGGATCTGTAAATTGAAGACTTTCAGTCTTTGAATTAATAAGCTGTGAATCAGAGATGGAACCGAATTTGTTGAACTCAACTAGTAAGAAATGAAATGAAATGGGGTTTAACGTCCTACTGTTCTGCTCCTAAACTGGGCTAATGAAGACGGGCATACGCCATACAGTGTGCTATGAGGGAAATTTTGCCCGGGCAGCGGCACTACGGCCTACTCTTATATCGAATTCCATCTGCCAAGGGATCTTTTACGTGCACGCCAATGTGTACACGGGACCTCGGTTTATCGTCCTATCCGAACGTCTAGACAGCTGTCCTTGTCAGGCCCTCCGTCCTGCATCACTGACAAGGGGAAACCAAGCTGGAAAATCTGAATGACCCCCCCCCCCCCTTAGTTACGGGCCTGACGACAGTTTGTTTGATTCGAAGAGCAGTACTTCATATCTGATTGCCTTTTTTTAAGATCACAATTATCTCGTTTACACAATGTGTGACCGTAATAGAGGTAAAGCGTCTTTTTTTTTTTTTTACTGGTACAATCTCACAAGAAAATAATACCTCTACGCTACAAACGGCTGTAAACGCGATTAAAGAAGATACTATTACTCTGGCAAAGATTATGGACTTAATAACAAACCTGAACATAAGACTGAATCACATCGAGACGAAATTAGTGATATTAGATGAGGTGTATTGCTTTTTATCAACTCTAAAGCAAAAAGTTAACAACCTTGAACTGGATATTGGAAGTTTGAAACAGGATTACTCTCATTTAAAGTGTGAAACATCCGGCCTATCTGAAACTGTTAAACAAATAGAGAAGCAACTGACGGAAGAATCAAATTACAATTTGAAGGATCGCTATCAAATAGGCATTGTATACAAGGATAATAAGTACCGAGGTAAAGAATTACAACGCATGAAAGACATACAAATGGAATTAGAAGGAACTGTGATTTATCTCCAGTGTCGTTCAATGAAGTGTAACCTGATATTTAATGGCTGAAAGGAACACAAACACGAAGACTCGGAAGGTAAATTAAGAGACTTTATACATAGAGAATTAGGAATCGAACAAAAGGTTGAACTAGGCAATGTTCACCGTTTTGGAAAGTTTCAAGATGATAAACACAGACCGATTGTAGCCAGATTCCTGTATAACACCGAGCGCTCTTTGGTAAAGAGTCGAGGTTATAAACTTAAAAATAAACCATACGGAATTAATGAACAGTTCCCTGCTTCTATTGAGGCTGAATGCAAGAAATTGTATCCAGTCATAAGAGAACTAAAAGCCAAGGGCTACAAGACAAAACTAGTAAGAGATTAGCTGTTTGGCAATAACCAACTATATGATAGAGCCAAACATACATATCCATTGAACACACTTGATAATACTCAGTTAGTACCCGATCTATCCTCCAGAGTAGATAGACAGGTAGGGGATATAAGGCGTCCAGCCGCTAAGCGACAATCATGTTTAGTTCCTCGTCTGAAGAGTCGCCAATTTCCCACAGGCCTAAGACAAGTGGGAGAGTGAACTCAAAGTCATTTCTTGGAACATTGGCAAAGGTTTACGAAACAAAATAAAAGACAATAACTTTTTAACGGAAATACGTGGATATGTTTTCTTATGCCTATATGAATGTTGGATAAAGGATATGGATGTATTTGAAGTCACCGGCTATTCAGTGCACAATTTTGCTAGGACTGGCTGCAGGGGTGGTGGTATTGTTATTTGTTTGAAGAATGAAATTTGTAATATATGTAATATTATTGATAGCATATTAGACTGTTTGATCGTGATCATAATATCACCTAAATCAACCCAAGGGCAAAATATCATAATTTTCTCTTGTTATTTCCCCCAATACAATAGCATCTTCTATGATCAGACTGATATAAACCTATTTGATTGTCTAGAAAACAATATCAGGAAATATGACACTGCCAACAACACAATAATTGTAACAGGTGATCTCAACAGTAGAACCTCAACTAACTATGATTTCATTGCGCATGATTCTTTATCTAAATCTAATGAAAATATTTTGAGTGATTTAATCATATTATATGAGCCCGATCCACCAATCTTAAATATTTAAACTCGCAAAAATATGGACAAAGTGTGCAAGTCTTTTAGGAATTTACTGCTGTCAATATGCATTTCGACAGAATTCAGGATTGTGAATGGGAGGTTTGACGGTGATCGCGAGGGGAACTTTACTTTTAGTAATTCAAAGGGAAGCAGCTTAATTGACTATTTATTAGTTCACTATACTCAACTTAAGTGTCATAAAATCGTTTAAATCGGGTGTATTTACTGAATTCTCAGATCATGCTCCAGTGTGTTTTGGATATCACAACCACAGCTTGTGAACTATGTTAAATTGGACAAGGATAAATGTGAAGTTATCAAAAATCTACTGAACACTAATCAACAAAGTATTCTAGATAATTGTTTTCTTAATGACTTAAACCAGACTTCAATTGACGCATGTATTGATACATTTTCTAACACATTATCTGAACTGCTACCCCCTATTGTAACAAATCGTTTGTTAAAAACCATCAAAAAAAAATCCTAATAAATGTAACAAACCATGGTTTGATACTACATGCGATAAATTGTACAAAAATTATAAACATGCCTTAAATATCTTTAATAGAAACAAATGTTTAGAAAATCGATTAAATCTATCAACAGCCAAACTAAATTACAAAAAATGGAAATTAAACTTAAACGAACCTATAGGACTCAACACGGTAATATGATGATTTACGTACGTAAGTACAATCTAGCCACCTTTCATAAAATATTTAAAAAGAAAAAAAACAAGAATTAAACCCTTCCATTGGAATTAACGAGTTTCACGAACACTTTAAAAATCTTTCAAAGACCTTTTCTACAAATAATAACCGAATTGTCGACGATTACTTATATATTCATGATAATTATTTATGTATCAATGATTCTCCGATTGCAGATATTGATATGCCTTTTACAGGTAGTGAAATACTCGAAGCCATTAAACAATTATAAGACGGTAAAGCATGCGGCAATGATAACATTTTAAATGAATTATTTATACATTGTAAAAATGAATTATTAACTTGTCTACTTTTATTATTCAATGACATATTGAGCTTTGGATTTTTTCCAACATCATGGTGTATAGGTAACACTGTGGCAGTACACAAGAAAGGTTACATCAATATACCCGACAATTACAGAGGTATCACCTTATTAAGTTGCCTCGGTAAACTTTTTACATAAGTTCTAAATACAAGGATATTAACATTTGATAAACTTAATAACGTCATAACAAATTCACAATTTGGTTTTCGAAAAGGTCTATCCACTATAGATGCCATATTTCTTTTACAACCATTAATTAATTGTACATTAAAACGTAAAAAAAAAAGTCTTTATTGTTGTTTCATTGGTTACTCAAAAGCATTTGATTTTGTTCATCGCTCTAGTCTTTGGTACAAATTAATCCAAGAAGGAATTGATGGTAAAATTCTAAAACTAATTCGTTCACTGTATGACAAAGTTAAATGTCGGGTTAAATACCAAGGTGTCTTTTATCACCACAACTTTTTTCATTTTATATAAATGATGTTGAAGAAAATTTAAAAAATGATGATTGTCAATCTATATCGTTAGTATCATTAAACCTCTTCCTGTTAATGTACCCCGACGATAAAACCATATTTTCAGAAACGTCTGACTGTAAATGTCTCTAAAATTAAAATTGTCGTTTTTAGGAACGGAGGTAAATTAATAGGAAAAGATAAATGGCATTACAGTGGTCTGAATATTGATACTGTCGATGAATTTAATTATTTGGGCCTGTTATTACACTGCAATGATAAATTTCTAAAAACACAAAAGCATGAGGCTGACCAGGGTCATAAAGCTTTATCGTATACGCCATTTTAAAAACATGTAACGAGAATTACTTTAACATTGTAACTAAAATCTCTATATTTGACACATACGTGAACAGTGTTTTAAGCCATGGATTTGAAATCTGGGGCTTCCATAAAGCGTCAGACGTAGAAAGAATTCTGTGCGTGACAAAGTGATCTATACGTTTCTTCAAATTGAATGATCATTTAGGTGCATAGAACTTCATGACCTCTGCTAGTTTTGATAATATATGATGTTGACGTTTCACCTCTGTATAAACTTCTGTTAAGGCACGGACTTATTAAACATCTAATTAATTCAATATGTCCTTTATAAGCTACACATGATCTGTGTATAACACTCAGCAGAACTTCATGACTTCAAGAGAAATACGCAGTGCAGTTACAGATACCATAATCTGATAAATAAACAATACTATATATATGATAATTCACTCTTGTCCATTTCCCCTATTTATCGTACGCTATATAAGCAGGAGTTTACTGACAGTTAGACAGAGAAAGCGGAGAGCAAAGGAGAGACGCGGAGACTGGCGTAGGGACTCACCCGAGTTCAACC